CATTATCTTAATATGCCCAGGGCCTCCAATAGGTCTAAGACGGCACTGCAAATATGTGTCACGCTTTCATTTCATCTTTTCCATAGGATTTTTCCATTAACACCCCGTCCGAAAAGAAGTTTAACTTTAAAAATCTGTGGTCACGCATTTGTTTATGTTAAAAGAGTGGGAAACCAGCATATGGCCCGCCTGATGGTAAGTGGCCACCATAGTCTTCGCGAATTTGCGATACAAAATTAATCACTCGCGCCGTTGCCTACCCAGTACCCTTAGTGCGAGTTTTACAATTACGTCGCACTCGTACTAAGGGTACTGATTTTATTGTTTTCGTTTCAATAGAAATAAACAGTGTTTAAATTCTATCATTAAATAATCATTTGCGTTTTCTTAAATTTTAAGTAAGTATATTTGGTTACTTTTCACCAAAACGGACATGGAAACATAATTTACAATTACGAAAACTATGATAGTTTTCGTGAACTCAAACTCGTACTAATGGTAGCCATACACACTACGAGAAATCGTTACGATCAGACTACAGTTCGAACGGAACAGTTTATCGTACGTGGCGTACGTATAGGAAACTGTGCAGTTTTATAATACCCGCCATACACACTACGAGAAATCGTTACGATCAGACTGTACAGTTCGAACGGTACAGTTTATACGATTTCGTTTAGTATAGGAAACTGTGCAGTTTTATAACATACACGCTACGATTTATCGGTACCGTTCGGACTGTACAGTCTAATCGTAACGATTTCTCGTAGTGTGTATGGCCACTTTAAGGGTACTGATGACACAATCCCCTAACCCGTGGAGCTCTGGAACCTTTACTCACCGACGGAGAAACACCACCATCAAAAGGTAGTTATTTTACTGTGATCATCTGCAAGGTGGAGATTACTTCCCCAGACGGGCGTTTCAATTCGAACGGAAATCCGCTATGCTCTTAAAACTAGAGTACATACCAAAACATAATTACATAAACTTTATCTATTTAAAAAACTTGTACCCATCTATCTCTTCTTAATTGAAACCGCGATTGTATGGAGATTGACATTTCCAAGGAATAAATTAAAAACCAAAGTAACTAAAATAGATATATTAACTTGTCTTATTATGTGGTATTTATCAACCGGCTGAATCAATACAAATGAAACTTAGATAAATATAATAACTCCTTTTTACATCGGCGCAGGTCTCCGTAATATAATTTAATCAATAAATCTAAAACCGCGGTGCTGAAATTGGATAATTGATAAATAATAAAAAAGACGATATGAAAGACGACCGACACAAATTCTGCACCAATGTTTTTCAATTCAATCTTTAAAACAATCCGAGTACTGAATACCACCATTATTTAAGACAATCGATTAAAATGTAAATTGAACCTCTCTTTATTCTAAACAAGTTATTTATTACACACCGTAAGTTCGCTATGGTTTTTATCAAAAACTGGAATTAATCCAAAATATGCCGTATGAGACATACACGAAGCGCGGTGCATAACAAATAAAAAAGTTAAAAACCTGTTTGCAAATCTCACGGCCGCACCGGCGAATTTTTTTTTGCACTCATTTCATAAGTGATTTGTTACAAAAGAAATGCAAATACAAAGCTTAATAATACAATATAAAAAGATGTTAATTTACACTCACCTTTAAATTAATGCACCACACAAATAGTCCGTAACAATAATTTCAGAAAAACAGGTGTTTTAAAATGCAATCTGTCTACCGCACTCGTGACCCAGCGGGCATTCGCACTAAAAGTACTGCCAACGTGATAAAAGAATTTTCTCCTTGTATTCTATATTGTCTATGACAGCTTTAACTTGTTGTTTTTTATTTCTTCATTTTTAAGGCAAAAGAATTTTATTTTGTACAGCCAAAATTTTATTACTGTATTGGTTTCGATTATGGCTTGATTCTCTAAACTTCGAACTAAAGAACAAATACTATTTTGACCTGATCATGTATAGAGATGACATATACGTCAAAATAAACCTAATTTAATTATAAGTATATTACAATAATCGACGTGGTAAAAGAAACGCAGGAAAAAAAGGATTTTTTATTATTTCAATATGTGTAAGTTACAGTTCCGAACGCACTTCAACTATCTACTGTTTGCTACGTTCCATTTTACATACACTACCACTTGTCAAGAATATTTGTTCAACCCTGTTTTTTATGCGTTTCAAATACTTTTACACTGAATTTTATGTATATGTTTTTCTATATTAAACTCTTGCTACAGGATAATTTACATTACTAATATTATCATTTCACAAATTCGTCATGCAGTAAAATTAAACGATTTGTAAAACGGATTTCTTTGACATATGACAGGTGTTTGACAACCCGCCCTGCACAGAGTTTGTTAATTAGAGTGCTTTTGTATTTTGTTTAATATTAAATTAAATAATGTAGGATTGCTGTAAGATGTGTAAGCATCTAATAGTCTGTGGTTTTCATACAATCCACTTGACGTTGCTCAAAATAAATTGCTTATTCCCCTCTTGGGACAAATTATTCTTCACAATCAGCGTTGCCATTGATACGGCAATTTGAGCTCATAATTTCAGATTATACGACATAGGGCAGGTTTGACATTACCGTATAATAATATACGGTAATCCAAACTGATTTTTTTTAATCGATTTACAAGGATAATGTTTTGAGTTAATTACGATTCCAACAAAAAGTCATATAAAATTGTAGTTTAGGCACATCCCTAGCACGGAGAATATATCCTTACTGGGAATCCACGTGCAGTATAACTCAATAGGATACTGAAACTGTAAATAGAACTCTTGGCGAAGCAATCTATTAGAAATCAAGTAAACTGTACAACATTTTAGTCCGTGACATGTGGCTGAAAATTAAAAACAAGGGCAAATATAGTAAAAATAGCAAAACAGCATTACATAATATAGTAAATATAGTAAAACAGCGAAATAGTTGTCTAATAAAAATTTGTATGACGGTGATATTAATGAGTAGGTTATTTTTTTATTTGTGCCTTTATATTATTGTTACTATTAATTAGTTACTAATTACCTGTAAATTTATAAAAAAAATTAGTTAATACGGCAATATCATGATTTTTATTTAAAAATACGGCAATCTGATGTATTGAATACGGCAATTCTATCAAACTTGATGGCAACACTGTTCACAAGTGTTGTTTGGTTATTCATTCATATCCGTTTGGCTGGCAGGTACATAAGAACGCAGTCTGCCCAATTTACTTGTAACCATAAAGTAATCAATTCAGAAATACCTGCACTACATTTTGTCATTTAACTTGATCAGAATATCTTTTCTATCTTTTAATTTGTTGATATTTTATGGAATTTGTCGTAAATAAATTAACAAAATAAATTGCAGATAATGCAAAAGAACATCTGAACCTTCAGTGTTGACAGAGCAAAAAAATTTAAAAAAATCATAATTTTTTAAATTTTCCTACATTTAAATCGTAAAAATGACTAAAGGATATTTATTTATTATTTTATTAATTTCTACGTAATCTTTCAAGTATACTTTATATTTATACATTAACTTTCATTATCAGGTTTTCAAATGTATGGAAAGTGGGTATTGTTCTTTAACAACAGTCTCTCCGTTTCATTTTGTAAAGAATATGATAAAGATACACTATTGATAGCATCAGCACCGCGATACGACATAGAGCTCAGTTTTATCACGCTCAATAGGCTAGTTGACTCATGTCGAATTGTATTAAGTAAATGTTTATTTCTTAAAGTATTTGGTCTAGGGAACCTAAATATATCGATTTCACTTCATAAAAGCAGAAGATGCTGTAGAAATTTAATTTGAAAAAATAATTTTTAGTCTATACTTTTTAAACACTAAAACGCTGTTCACCACATCCGCCATGACGTCTCTTTTAGTAAACAACTAAATCGACACCTGCAAGGAAAAACATCGTAACTCAGTCTATGGAAAAACAGCTACAATGATATTCTTACATGGAATATTAAAATTATTGTAACTTTTGATATAAGTTATTTGTGTATCTGTATGATAATTTCTGTTTATTGGAATTTTCGAGATAGTTTGATATTAGGATTTAATGAATATAAGCAGTTAATTTTACACTGTAGGCCTCCCTGTAGTTACTAAAAGTGAGTTACGATGTTTTTCCTTGCAGGTGTCGAAATGTCATTCATACATAACTTTAAAACTTGTATTATTAAAACTGATAATAAATGAAGAGACTTAAAATATTATTCAATGAATACTTACATCAAAGTGATTTTCGCAAAAATAAATTTTACTATGAGTCGATAAAGTTGCAGGATCACTTTTAGCAAGTTCTAACCAGGTATTGCGTAGGTTAATTTCTTTCGGCACTTTAATCCACAACTTCAAGGTTTTTTTTTACATTCTCGTACAATACAATAATGATAATTACTATATTTTTCGTGGTATCTATTAGAAATCATGTTTTTTTTATTATAAACTCAGATAGGTTATTTTCTATGTACTTACGAGTTTTTTTTTTACTACCGTCGACGTCATAGCATAGATAATCTATAGACTAAAATGGCCGACAGCGTTTTTGTATGTCCATGAAAAGTCTATTTTAAAATTGAAGATTTGTAGCTTTCTAGGTCTCAAAAAAATACAATACATTTTTTTTCGGTCTAATAGAACATTTATGAACCATTTAAAACCTTTTTCCAAAAAGGGTCAACTAGCCTATTGTCAATATACTATGGTGTTTGACAGTCAGACTCAATAAAAAACGTGATATAACGTAAATTGAGCTGCTCATGCAAAGGGGGACTTCATGTGATCAATGTGAAGTTAAGATTAAGGATGAACCAATGAAAAGTATATCCCAAGGAAAAAGTTGCTACAAAGATGGAACGTAATATATCTTTGGTCTTGTATTAGGGAGAATTTTAAAAAACTATTCTGTCAATTTAAAAGTTTTGAAAAACGGCTGTTACAAACCGTCACTTTGTTTTTCTGTGGCTTCCTTTCAGTGATTTTGTGTTTCTTTGAATAATAATAGCGAATATTGTTGACCTATATGCCTATTTCACCGCCTTTAATCAAATTTTGGTCCAGTGATTGTGTTTTATAACTATTAAAAGTTAATTTACCAGTGTGCGTGCGTCTATTCCATTTTCAAATCGGTAAGTAAACAAATCGGGCTCTGCTGTTAATAATACGTAATTGGATTATGGTATTTTGTTTTTAACGTAGTTATTGTGTAGCTTTCTATGACATTCAATCATATCCGGGTAAGTAAGCTGCAAATAAATGTATTTCCAAATATCTATCGTTCAAAGACCAACCATCTAAGAATTGAAAACTCAATTTAGTCAGAAAATGATGCTATGTCACATTTCTCTCTCAGGCCTAGTTTTTTTTAATAATGTTAATCACTTAATTTTTAAAGCAATTTGCACAAGAACTGTAGGTATTCGAGATATATTTTTAGCTTATAGAGCATTATTCCATTTAAGAGTCAGAATTCTAGAAGTATATGCATGGTTCTTTGTACAAAATATGTTTCCCTATATTTTAATATTGTTAAGACTCTTAGATTCAATATTTCATGTCATGTCAAAAACATTTCAATGCACCAACCGGTTTTCTCGTAAACCACTTACTAACCATGGTAGACTCCCTTTAGCCAAGTCCTTGCCAACTATATACACATTTATAAAATTAAACACAGCTTATATATCTATCTTTAACTGTTGTGTTTGTCATTGTGATGTCTGCAACCTTTATATTTAATCCGGCTCAGCTTTCCATTAGCTGTGGTTGAATTGCGAGCTGAAATTTTTGTCACGCAAAGTATTAATTATTAGAAACACGTACACGAAATCTTTTAGGAGGAAAAATAGAACTCGAGTTAAAAATAGCAGCCTCCGCTTGCTGTGACAAAGCCGCAAGCATTGAGCGACCCGTAGCGCCTGAGCCTGCTTGCCGCCAACAAGCCGAAGGTGTGAAGGGGAGTGATGCTTGGGACTTTGTCACGCAAAGGCGGAGGGGCTGCTATTCCCGCAGCGCCGGAGATAAGGCAGAAGTACTGGTTCTCACTTCCCTAGTCCTTGCATCCTAAAAAATTTATGAATTTTAGGTTAGGTTAATTAAAAAAAATATGTATTTCCTTCCCCTCTCCCTCATCAAAACTACCCCAAAATTCAACCACAGCTAATGGAATTAACTACCCTCAACCCTGACATTGGCAGAATTGTTCAAGCAGACAACAGCCAGGCTTCACAAAAAACAGAATAAAAACCTGCATTCTCTAGTTCATTAAAAAAGCATAACTAAAATTGGTCAAAGAATGGTGTACTATTGATTTAATTTGCTAGAATATTCTAAATAGAATCTCATCATACTAATGTACTGTAGGTATCTTCAATTAATTCATGGCCATTTTAATGTTTTCTGTTTGCCTTTGCATTAGACAATTATTAGAAAACAAAATTACATTGAGATTTATAGAAACAAATAGTGTTGCTGCAGTTTACAGTCAGCAGCCTGTCTCGGAATGGTAGCTTTGTAAATCCCTGATGATTTCATCCATTATTTTAAACTTAATAATAAAATAATACTTGACTCACACGCCCCCACCAGCAAATTTTAAGCTTTATCATTTTGGTTAATTATCATTTAAGAGAAAAACACCAATTAGCCTGGCCCCAAAAAAAGCATGTACTACATGTACATGCTTTTTTTGGGGCGTATGTATTTAAATTCTATCTCTCTAGGCTGATTGATGTGAGTATTGGAAATATTATTATTATCCGCCCGGAGTGCGGGTTCTAGTCCAATCTGCTGCCTGATCTGTGTGGGATTTTTGCTAGTAAAATTATCTTTAGATTTAAAAACAAGATTCTATAATTTTTATAAAATCTAACTGACTGACTTAATAGAATTTCGTTTATTTTACCTTGTCAGCATCCGTATTATGAATTACATGGCAATATAATTATGATTGAGTTGAAGATGGTCCGTCATTACCATAGTGCCTTTATATATTTTAATTGTCTTTTTTTTATTATTTCAGAGCAATCATGTCTTCCGTAGAGCAGCGCTTAGCCAAGCTTAGGGAGGAGCGCTTAGCGAGAGAGAAAGCAAGAATTGAAAAGGTAAGGCAAGGCTTATCTAAAGAAAATCCGTACTTATAACAGGCCTGTTCCTGACTGACCAATGCACAGCTCAAACCTCTGCACTGTATGGATTGAGCTCAAATTTAGTACACATATAGCTATTATGATGTAGGGGTGCGCTTAAAGGAGGTTCATAGTTTTTATGGCAACTAATATTTCCACATCTCCAAAGTCACGGGCACCCATTAATTTTGAAGGACGAATTTGAAAAGCAGTCAGTGTTGCCATTTAATTTTAGATTCAATTCAATATTCATTTATTCAGTTTAGGCTTTTACAAGTACATATGTAAGTCGAAAACTACGCAATCGGTTTGCAAATCTAAGGCGGCAGAGCTTGTACTGAGAAGAACTGGCAAGAAATTCAACAAGGGCTGCTTTTTTCTCCTTGTATTATTTCATACAGTGTCGTTAAATTGAGAGTAATAAGTAACATCATATTTTGGACTGTAACCGCCTTATTAATAAACGAAGACTACGCTTGGATTAATTACTCCATGTTTTGTCTCTGTTTATTAAATGACAATTGGCATTTGAGTGACATGAACATAACTCGGTGTACTCTCGGTGGGTTACCTACAATGCAAAGAGATGGCGCTGCTTTGCAGCTTAAGAATGGCTAGAATAATCGGCCGCGGTAGCATAATTGGTCAGTGCATTCGCCCGGATTGCGAAGGGTGCGGGTTCGAGTCCCGTCTGCTGCCTGGTCCGCGTGGAAGTTTTTCTAGTTATATTTTCTTTAGATTCCCTAGTCATAATATAGTAGGTGTTGTGCTTTAAATCATAGAACTATTTCACTTGATTAACGTATCGTACATGTAAACAATGATGAGTTATGTAATAGAATAATGTTAATAAATTTTGTTTTACAGTTACGGGAGTTGAATCTTAAAAAGTATAACAAGAATGAATCTATACTGCCAAAAAATACCGCGTCATTTGACACTGCTGTTGCCAAAAAACAAATTAAACCGGATAATGTGGCTAACAAAATGAAAACTCATGTAAAAAACAACTTCCAAGTTAATAACACTACGAAAAGGCCAACATCGGTATCGAATGGAATAAATAAGCCGGTACCAAATAAAGAGCCTGTGGAGACGAAACCTAAGACTACTGCAAAATTGGCACCGATTGCTAAAGTTAGTAAAGTTACGAATGCTACAAAACCTGATCTGATCCCTAAAAATAATGAAAAGAAATCTACCGCTGGCGATAGAATAGCAAAAAATCAAGTTTCGTCTTTAAATGACTTTAAAACACGAAAAAGCTTCGTACCTACTACAAAAAGTACTTTAACGGCCATTGTAACAACGAACATATCATCCAGAAAAAGTCTAGCTCCACCTAAAACTGAAACAAATAAACCCAACCACAGACAATCTGTTTTCGAAAGACTTTACAAGCCGAAAGTCGTCGAGAAGAAAACCACAGACGATGTTTTGAAAATACAAACAGAGCCAAACTACTTGAAGAAGATAATAAAGAATTCTGGTTTGATCCTCAACAACAAAAGGCATACTGTTTTCGAAGTGCACAGAAAGATTGAGCCACCGGTGCGCCGTTCTATATCAGCTGTGCATTTCAAAAGAATAAATAAGAATGAAATCAACAATTGCATACACAAGTGGTCTTCCATCGGTGACAGATTGAATAAAGTGCATTTGAAAGAAGTCAATGAAGACGAGGCTGTGAAACAAGACAAAGTAGTTTCAGCCGTCAAAAGCGAAAGAAGAAAGGTGCAATTTCGGACTCCAGTGCCTTTCAATTTTAACACTCCGAAGCCTGAAGAATTGCAATCTCGCTTAAAAAATTGGCTACAGAAGCGCGGGAAATCTTTAGACTCTTACCACCATTTGCAATGCTTTGGAATACACCATATAGCTCAAAGGGAAGTCAGGCCTATAATAGAGCCACCGAAACTTGAACTCTATGATGATGAGGATAAGGAAAACATTGCCTTGGAACACGATAGCGATAATGACTCGTTTTGTGAAAACATGAATGATTTGGACCATAAGGATATGTGGAGACGGGCTAGTTTCGTGAATGACAGCTTAGATTTTAATGATACGCAAAACTCGACCTTAACGTCGAGTGATGCCGCTCAGCATGTGGACGAAGTGCTTCTGGGCGCTTTAAATGATTTGACGGAGTTGTTGCGAGAGGTACGAAAATATAATTTATTTTGTTTATTAAACTAACAAATGTTTGTTTTCAATAAATTACATTATTATTCTTTAAAACTGTCTTACAGATTGGCTCTGCATACATTACAGCTACGGCTATTTTTTAACTATAATAAATTGTAACTACATTTATCAATTAGGAATTAATTTATTAATAATGTCAATAGAGATATCCGGTAAATATTTAAGTCCAAATTGAAACTTGCGAGCTTGAAAAGAGTCTGAAACGTCAATGAAAACAGTTGAATCTAATAAATTTCGCTTTATTCAACTTCTATTCACAATAGACTTTGAATTTGACTTTGTATCACACAATAAACTATTTTTTAAATTGGAGCAAAGTGGAATTAGAGGTAAAGCACTAAGTTGGATCAAGTCATACCTTCAAAATAGGATGCAGTCAGTGGAAATTGCTCAACTTAGTAATAAACAAGTGATACATAAAGAACAATCAAATTTCACAGAAACTAATTATGGTGTGCCCCAAGGCAGCATTCTCGGCCCTTTGCTGTTTTTAATCTATGTGAATGAGTTACCTAAAGTGACGAAACATAAATGCATCCTATATGCTGATGACATTTCAGTTGTAGTAACAACTGATAAAAATCAAAACATAAATTACCATGAAAATGACATAAATAAAACAATTGAATCGATAATAACGTGGCTTAATGATAACAATTTAAAAATCAATATTAACAAAACACATTATATAAACTACGGTTACAATCAGACATTGAATATACATTATGGGAATCATTGTATTAAAAAAACAAGCAGTGCTACTTTTCTGGGCATTGAGCTTGACCAAAAAATTGATTGGAAATTACATGTAGACAAGGTATGCAATAAAATAAATAGATTTGCTTACGCACTTTTTAAACTTACTAAAACAGCAACTAAAAATACGGCTCTAACAGCGTATTTTGCTTATGTGGAATCGGTCTTGCGATATGGGCTTATTGTTTGGGGAAATAGTACGGACATACAAAGGGTATTTGTAGCACAGAAAAAGTGCATAAGGGCAATATGCGGGATTGCACCAGATATGTCATGCAAACCATTTTACAAACCCCTAAATATTTTGCCTCTGCCATGCCTCTATATCCTGGAGATATCTAAGTTCGTAAAGTTAAATCAAAATTACTTTAAAACTGCCCGTGAGATATTTCCTACAAATACAAGACATGGTAAAAGGTTAGTCATTGATACAATCCCGAAAAGCACACATTTTAAAAAGAACTGTTACTATATGTGCATTCAAATTTTTAATAATATTCCACATTCAATAAGAGATTTGCCTTTCAGTAGATTTAAAATAACACTACGTAGATGGCTCATTGAACGTAAATTCTACTCGGTCCAGGAATTCTTGAATTATGATAGCTAAAATATAAATAATAGTAATTTTGGTGGATGAGATTTTGAGTGACATATACTGATTTAATTATATTTTTGATTCACATTTTAATATGACCTGATTTTAATCGAATTTTTATATTTTTGACTATTTATTTTGTGACCTGTTAAGTAATTTTTATTCAATCATGTGACATAGTATTAATTAATTTGATAAAAAACTGATGTAAATTTGCATGCTACGTTCTATAGCTGAATAGGTGAAACCTACAGTAAAGTTATGTGTAACTATTTATGACCTTGATTACCCTGTTCAAACGCAAATAAATAATTATTCTATTCTATTCTAGAAAAAAAATTGACGCAAAACATACACAGTAGCTTAAACAATATATCAATATTATTATAGGCAAAACGCACAAAAATAGTATATCTATTCCATATTATCTTGGAACGCAACTTATGACGCGCCTGGAAAAACAATATAATTATATTATTGTTATAGACAAAACATGCTAAAATGAGGAGCTAGTGAGTAATTATTGACCTTGAATCTTGTATGATAAAGGACATTTTTACTTGGCATGTTTGGTTATAAGATCTCCTTATTAACAAATAACATTTTGGCGACGGGAGTTGATGATGGTGAGATTTTAGACCTAATTGTGTGCAGAATAAAGGACATTTAATTTTTTACTTGGGATGTTTAGTAGTTATAAGGCTTGTTTTTCGACAAATATTCAAAGAAAGGAGGAACTCGATGGCGCAGGTGGTTAGCGCGTTCGGCTGCGATCGTTGAAGTTAGGCAACTTTCGCAGTGGTCGGGTCGGTCATTGGATAGGCGATTTTAAAACATTCCATCTGAAGTTCCTCCGTGCTTCGGAAGGCACGTTAAGCCGTTGATCCCGACTGCATCTGCAGTCGTTAGCACCCACCAATCCGCACTGGGCCCGCGTGGTGGGTCATGGCCCAATCTCCCTATACCATCTACAGGGAAGGCCTGTGCCCCCACTGTGGGTACATTAATAGGCTGACGTTGATGCTGCAAAAATATACATCAACTAGCAAACCAGTGAACCAAATGTTCACCAAAACCTGATTTAAAAAAAAAAATGTATTTAATTAATTGAGAACTTCGGAGATTTTGTGTGGTTTCGTTTGAAATTCGTGATTTCTCGAAAACCAGAAGTGCTACGTTACTCAAATCCGGTTTGTAGTCTTATCAGGCTATTCTTAACTTATAACTTAAATATTCTCTTTATCTATCTCTTACGGTTTGGCCACTGTAACAGCACTACAGACGGACGGACGGACTTGTCTAATAGATAAGAGATTCTATATTATTATTTATGCAAATTGACCAGGGTTTCGACTGGGAACAATGCGCCCGTTGGTTGCGTGCCATACGGGAGAGATTCCCATACGCCCCGGACACTGCGGCCTATTGGGAATGTAGGGCAGCACTAGAAGAAACTAGAGGAGATCTGCCTGCTTCTGTGCAATGCTGGGAAGAGGCCATTGCTAAAGGGACTGAGGTAATAGTCTTCGTCTTTATTATAATTGCTATTGTTTTATATACGAATAGCTGTGCCCCCGTGTGTTACCCGCGCTTTATTAGGGATATTTTCCCGCCTAAAACTTAGCCTGTGTGTTAATCCAGGGTGTCAGCTAACTCCATACAAAATTTTATTAAAATCGCTGCAGCCGTTTAGGTCTTGTTCTTTATTGTAATTGTTATTTTTTTATATACGACTAGCTGTGCCCCGCTATGTTACCCGCTCTTTATTAGAGATATTTTTCCGCACTAAAACGTAGCCTATGTGTTAATCCGGGGTGTCAGCTAACTCCATACCAAGTTTTACTAAAATCGCTCCAGCCGTTTAGACATGAAGAAGTAACAAACATACACACTCACAAATTTCGCCTTTATAATATAAGTGTGATAAGCGTACTGTAATTAAAAAAAAAGACTGCAACGATACGAATAAATATGTATACTAAAGATCATAAAAATATAATAGATCATAAATCGTCCAAAATTGTAAAAAAAATCACCTCAGCCAAGATGTTCCAGCGATGACACAATTACAATCTGACGCTGGAAGTGTTTCAGGGCCCTTCCGAAACAGCGTTGTCTTTTTGTATTTATGTTCTTAACTATTAAATGACATTCACTATAATTTGGAGAAAATTATTTAATATGAAACCGATGAAGAATTATAATATTTTGACGACCTCCGTGGCCGACTGGTTTCTACGCCGGGTTTCATGGTGTCGCTAAATCGAGAGGTCCCGGGGTCGATTCCCGGTGGGGGATGTTTGTGTGATGAATACGATAATAACCAGGCATTTGTACTCCAGTCATGGAAGTTTAATATGTATTTCTATATTTTACTTATATATGTACTGTATATGTATTCTATCCGTTACCCTAGCATCCCATAACACAAGCCTTACAGAGCTTACTTTGGGGCTAGGCTAATTGGTGTGAGTGTTGGAAATATTTATTTATTATTATATTATTTAGCGAGACGACAAATTTATGCACCACAGTTGTACTCAACAAAAGTAACCGACCAAAGTTTTTAACTCTATTCACATGACATTTAAAAGTACATTAAAACTTTATATTCATAATGTTGCCAGGCGAAAATAATTGACTTAATATAAATTAAGTTACTTAATAAACTTAGGAGAAGCCGTTGCAAGCATGTAACTGCTCGATGTTTAAATGTAAAGAAAATATTACTAGAAAAAAATCCACGCAGACCAGGCAGCAGACGGGACTTGAACCCGCACCCTTCGCTATCCGGGCGAAATCACTGACCAATTATACTACCGCGGCCCTGACGGCCGTGTCGAATTCTTTCTAGCCTTTCTTAAGCTGCAAGGCAGGTATCTCTTCGCATTGTAGGTAACCCACACATGCCTGCTCTGCGTGGAATTTTTTACTAGTAATATTTTATTTGTTTTTTAGGTTTTCACACACATCACTCATTAAATAAAACAAGTTTGAACGGGTTAGATGCACTGATTTTATTTATTTATTGACGTTTAGCACCCTTTGCAGGAATGCGTCGTATTAATTACAAAGCATCCTGCGAAACGTCAGTAAATAAATAAAATCAGTCTATCTAACCTGTTGAAACTTGTTTTATTTAGTAATATATACTTTAGATTTAAACATATTAGCACACAACTTTTCTTATAAAAATTTCTTTTAATGCTTAAAATAATAACATATTTTCTGTCTATTTTCAGCATTCTGTAGTGGAATCTAATCTAGACCAATTACTGGACAAGTTTATGCAGCTCAAGATCAGTCCCAACAGTGGGAAACGGAAGCCCATTGATTCCAAAATGGTGGATGTGAAGAACGTATTCAAGAGTACTATCATAAGATTCGCTGTGCAACAGGCTAAACTGTAAGTGTTAGTAAATAAATGCTTATTAGGCCGTTTACAGTACCCCTAGCACGAACCATTATCGAATTCGAATAGTTTGCGAGTGCGAAATGTCAATCTCAAATTTTGTATGGAAACTTGAACAGCAGCGCCACAAAGTACGTAACGAGACCTAAAAATCAGTACGCATTTGACAATGACATTTCGGACTCGCAAACGTTACGAATTCGATATTTTGGTTCGTGCTAAGGGTACAGGTCTCCTTTTCGAAATGGCCTTTAAACTTTGACAACTCCGTAATCGTATCGCATCGTCTATGAAAGTAAGTTTCTATGAAAACTGAGCAGCGCCTCTACCGGACATAAGAACAAACTGGCTTATAAAATTTTACATTGACAATATGATTACGGGATGTCAAAGTTTGAGTTTCATCTTCTGTAACAGGCCTGTAATGTCAAAGTTATTAAATAATGAAAGCCCTTTAAAAATCTTTGAAACTGATTTTTGTTACTGTTGCTGTCGAAGAATTTTGATCTGTTGTATACAATGAAGTAGATTATCTTATACAGCAATTAAATTTGGTCGTTAGCCCGTATGCAGTAACATGAAAGAGATTACTTGAATTTGGGCACCTGAAGCAATATTTACACTGACATACAGTGTCGGATAAATGTATATGAGCTTATTAGACTCTGTTCCTTCACACTTAGTCGTTTACCTAAATTCCATTGGCGCTTAAATAATAAAAGCACTTTAAAATTCTTCAAGTGTTTTTTGTTTCGGTGTAAAACAGCTAGTAAATACTTTTCCGTGATATTAATGACACTTCCAAAAATTAACAACTGTGTGTCTACTTTATCTACAGAAGCAGCACAATTTTAACATCTACACAAAGAATGAAATAAACTTTTGGCATGTATATTGATTAAAAGTAATAATTTACCATATTCATTCGTTGCACTTATTGCTCATATTTTGCTTGTAGAATTCATAGTTTCAGAAATTATTTCACGTAGGCAGCTATGTTTTGGGTACATTTATGAGTTTTAAGTAGTTGCATTACTGTTTTGATTTTATAATAAGGTATTTGACAGTATTAAAAATAAAGTGCCAATTGTTAGCATCATCTGTGTTAAGAATGGATATTGGCAGGGGTTTTTACTATTTTTACAAAAAAAAATCATAATTTTACTAAAAACCCACGAAAAAGATATAGTTTTCTTATCTATTGTCACGTGACCATTAACGCTTGGGATTGGCGGAGCCTAAAATGACGTCATACGCAAGTAAACTTTCCGGTTAAAGTGACATTACATTGTATCGTTTGACGTTTTAATAACAGTCGTGTGACGTCACACACCAGTAAGACGCCATATTGTCGAGAAAAACGTTTTCGCGGCAACTTGAAAATGGAGTTTTTGATTTGGTTATTTTTAATGAAATACACAACAGAATGATGAATATCCACTTTTTACGAACTCCATAAACATTAGTCAATAACGTGAGATCGTTTTCTAAAACTTGTCCAATACCCTATTATTGAATAAAAGATTTTCCATACAATTTTTCAAACCCCATTTCATGTCTTGAAATTTAAAGAGTAGTCCTCAATATCTCATTTATTTTGGATGGACTAGATGTCTCGAGTCTACTGTCACTTAACATCAGGTGGGGTGAAACTCTTTTGTAGGAACTATTAACAAAAAAACCATCAAAACCTGTCAAGCAGTTTAAATGTGGAAACGTAAAAAAATATAGGCATTTTAACGATATTATTCAATGACTAGTAATTCCCTCCGGCTTTGTAACAAGTAAACTTTATTTTAACACGAAACAATATAGCCTATTTTGATTGAAATGGTAAAATAATTTTATTCCCCTTATAATATCCATAGCGAAAGCCTGCATTCCAACAGTAAATAAATAAATAATTAATAAATATTTATTTTTTGGGTGTCTGCATGGTGACTGTGTCGTCACAGAGCTCTAGCGCTCGGGCGCGAGCGTGCGTAAAGATGCTACTAAAGTTCGACTGGAGTGAACCACGATCGAGCTCTGTGACGTCACACGTTTCGGCCGCCAGTGAATATCGGCTAACATAAAATTAGTCACAAAATCGCAAAGAATGAACCGATTTCGATGATTTAAAAAGAATATTAATTAAAAGCTTATTAGATCATTATGCTTTTGATTTTGAGTTGATTTGCTGACCTAGTAATGATCCTCATTGATAAGCTAACCTTTAGATTGCCAGTTTAATTTTTTAGGTGATCATTTACTATATTTTTGAGGATCATTCTAATCTTTGCTATTATTTATCATCTATCTATAATAATAACATTTCTCAATTTCCTACTAGCCGCCGTTCGAGCCAGCAAGACTTACCAAAATACACAGTGACTCCAGTAAGAAGAAGTTCCCGTCTAAGTTCGCAGTGGAGTGCCAAAAGGCCCCTACAAGAATGTATGAGCGTTAAACACGCGAGACAATTGGCCCCAGTTGAGTTTGTGCCAAATCCTTCGCTATGCCGCACTCCTTGAGGTTTCAAGCGAATTTGGTCCTAATGTCAATGATAATTGAGATTATAACGGAAGCGTGTGAACAAAATCTGTTTTTCAGTGTGTGTTGTACGAAAGTTTGCTTTGTATTCCGATGTAATTTAGACTGATAATGCTGTGTATAATTAAAACAATAATTTAAATAAATCTTGCTTTTGAGGTTTCAGGCAAGTTCGTTCTTTAATGATATAGATATTGAGGTTATTATTGCGTGTAAACATAAACTGGTTTTCTGTGTGCTTTGTACGAAAGTTCGCTCTGAATTCCGATGTAATTTAGACTGATAATGCTGTGTACAATTAAACCCATTATATATATAAATCTTGCTTTTGAGGTTTCAGGCAAGTTTGTTCTTTAACTTTATAGATATTGAGGTTATAACTGCGTGTAATCAAAAACAAGTTTTTAGTATGCGTTTTACGGAAGTGTTCTCTCTATTTCGATGTTATTTAGACTCATAATGCTGTGTACAATTTAAACCATGTATTAATCTTGTTAACAACGAATTAGAAATTATTTGGAAACATTACTCTCCAACAAAGGCGGCTAAAACATGGTTCTATAATTCATACAGCTAAACTTGAATACTAACACGTTTAAATCTAGAAACGCCAAGTTATCCAAACTTTTAAAAAAAATTACCAACTGACTTTGATCTAGATTTGCTAGCTTTTGATGTGCGATCATGAAACCTAAAAAAATTGTATCAGTCGATTTCGACATCTGCAGTGCTTAGAAGCAAATTAGAAATGCTATTACATTACGGTTTAACAAAGGCCGCTAAACACATAGTTCTAAATGCATACAGTTGAACTTGAATACTAACACGACACGCACACAAATAAAACAAAAAATACTTTGCCTAATCAAGTATCTACCAAAGAATTCGGCTATCTATGCATTTGGTAAGATAATGTTGAACAAAAATCCCAAGCAAACCCATTATGGGCGTGTTGGTCACACTTTTTTCGTCCCGCCCACTTGATCGCAGTTTGCGTGGAACCACTTTTTGGCGCTGTTCGTATTCCGTAATATTTGTGATTCGTTGGTATAGACAAAATGATTATCTGTTTGCGTTGTACGCAAGTTTTCTCTCTATTTCGATGTAATTGAGACTCATAATGCTGTGAACAATTTGAACGATATGTGTATAATTCTTGCTATTGAGGTTTCAAGCAAGTTTATTCTGTAATTCATTGGTAATTGAGGTTATATGAGCGTAAAAGATGCGAGTCAATTGGCCCCTGTGGAGTTTGTGCCAAATCCTTCCTTTACGGTCGCAATAATACGCATCTGGTCAAACTACTTTTTTTTTAGTCCGGAGGTTTTGGGCCCGTTGAATTTGAATCTCAAATAATTTTCAATCAAAACCGCCTAAAACAGCTTAAAAATTACTAAATTTTAAAATTAGAAACCATGCCAAAAGCTCACTGGAGGTATGTCATTCAGTTTCATACAGCTCCTGTATTTGTATTTTTTTGTAATAATACCGTTTTGTTCGCCAGCTCCTCAAATTATGCTTTTGCTTCATGGTCGCGTGACGGAAAACGCCTGAGATTGGCCAAGACTAGAATGACGTCACGCTAGTATACTTCCGGCCAAAGTGACATTACATCGTTGGACGTTTTAATGACAGTCGTTTGATGTCACATACTAGTGAGACTTCATAAGGTCCAAAAAGGATAAAAACATCCAGTTTCTATGTCATCGCTGGATAAACTATAGATTTCCCTTACAGGTTTCTGAACAGATCGACCAAACACACGCTTGGCAATCACTTCTGATATTAGCAGAATTGTCGACATTGGCATCGACACAATTGCCATTAAAAAGAATAGAATGGAATGTCCAGAGAAACGTTTTCGCTGCAACATGAAAATTGAATTATTTTGTACATAAACTGGTTTTCAGTGTGCGTTTTACGCAAGTTGCTCTCTATTTCAATGCTATTAAGAATTATATTGCTGTGTACAATTTTAACGACACAGTAACATACGAATCTTGCTATTGTTGAAAATCAGGAGTCGAATTGTGTACTTTTTCGTGCCACATCTCATTAAATAGTTCGGAAATATATTGTGACGTCTTATAGATGATTTTCTTTAACTTTTAAACTAGTATTATAGCTGTACTCAAGACGTCAATTGAATTTAATGGCTTTTAAAGTTACGTGTTGTCTTACTATAAGCGCTTTGAGCAAAGAAAGCGACAGGGATTAATTTCATCAAACTTACAAAGTTGATTGAGGTCTTTGGGTATGGCTGGTAGTGTCTTTGTACTTTTTGAATGGTGTAAATTGTGGTATTTCATATTATTCTTATCATGTGATGTGTGTAAATATTGATTTGAAAACTTTTTCTTCACTTTTATTTTTATATCTTTAACATCTATTGCAATCTTGTACAGACAGACAAAAGTATTTCAATATTAAGCCAGAAACATATTAACGTGTCGTGTCGTGTCCTGGCACGCCAGAAGCACATCGGTTTCATACATTTACTATGGTTAGAGACATATTTACGTATCGTGTCGTATCGACGCTTTAACCTCTCTATCTCTCTAATAAATGTATGAAACCCACGTCACGCCACGACATGTTAATATCTTTCTGGCTTTAGGTTATCAAAAAATCGTTATAAAGCCATGTCTATGTCGATTTCTAAGAAGAAATTTTAAAGTTGAGAGTAGACCAAAAAATTGTATATTTTATTATCTTATATTATATGCTATTTTCTGTATTTAATTATGTATTATAACGTAATAACCTTAGTTATAATATAATCTTAGTTTTATCTTAATATATACCTTATAATTATGATTTTTGGTTGTACAATGGCAAAGCATTTAACAATGAACTCTATAGAAAATTGTTTTCAATAATACTGAAGCTATGTCTTACGTTGTATCCAATGCAGTGAGAAATGCTTAGGTTCAAGAGAAACAGTGTAAAAAAGGGCATATCCCCTTGTCTGTGTAAATGGCAGATTTCTGCCAACGTCAAAAATCCCAAAAATTTGCTTACACTGTTGATGAGGTATTATACCCGGCTATTTGACGTTTGATGACATCAGATTAAGATGGTGTCCTAAGAAACAAATATAGTATAAGAGTAGAGTAGGGGAGATATAGACTACTACAAGTGGAAGTGTCCCTCTAATAGAAAGAGAAAGAAGATGAGAGACCGCTAGCTTTCTCTCTCTAATCGCGCATGCGCATTGGCAACCGTAAGCATCTTACTATTTCGATGTGATGCCATTCCATGGATTCGATTCCATGCGTCACAAGACAGAGAGATAGCTAGTGGTCTCTCATCTTCTTCCTCTTTCTAGAAGACGGACACTTAGAGCCGCCTTCCCCACTCTATTCGTATACCTCTATGAATAAAACACGTCAAGATAGACCATAGACAAGTATATGCATTATGTTACACTGTCCCCCACTTGATCCTATACTCTATTTTTTAATCTTTTGTTAATTTTCACAACCTAGCACTATTATTCTAGTGAAATGATAAAATTGTTTTTTAATGTTTTAAAGGCAGGTTTCCTAAAACGAAACACATTTTGGTATTTATAATAATACCTTCTGAATCGGTAAGTAAGCTTCTTTCAATATAATTGACTGGACTTAACATTGCGTGTGTTAAAACAATCAGATTTTAGTATTCGCTATGTGCACGACAGAGCGCCACCTACAATACGCAACTTTCCGGGATTATGCCAAATAATGACATCAGTTTGTATTTTATTGATTTCTAGTAAATATAGTAAATTAAAGATAAATAAAAATTATTATATATTGTATAATAATTTAAATACTGTCGGATTTCAATTCGGAATTTAGTACAGTCAATAATAACTCTTGTATTGATGTAATCTGGACTGAAACACTTGGGCATTGTTGCTTGTACGGTGGCTCTATTCGGCCAAAAGATTAAATTAGCAGTTGAACAAGCTAGATTTTGTAAGATCGAATGAAATATACGTGAGATTGTGGTTTTTTTGTACACCAAATAACACACTCAATGCTGAAAATGTCAAGCCATTTTTCATTTTTATCAAAAAAATCAGAAGTCGGTCTTTAGTGGAAACTGTACATTTTTTCATAGTTAATCTTGTTAATAAAAACTCAAAATTGCTAAATGACACACCAGAAGGATCTAGGAGTTCTTGATCATTTGTTATTGATGAAATACCAACAAATTCTTGACTTTTTGTTTCGGTAGATTGATCCTCATACGATTTTTTGTCAGTGCCACAGCTTTTATCTTTCTTTCTTGAATTATTTGTCATTAAAATTCTTGATGTTGGATTTCAGCATCACAGTGATCACTGTAAATTAATCTAATACAAATAAAAGTTGTATCTCTTAATTTCGATTCAGAAAACATATTGACTTGACATCCTTGATCGATCATAAAAGGTTGAGTTTGATTTAATTCACTCCCTTCTTCAATTATTATTTGACTTGATGTGGTATCTGAGACTTTTGTGGTTCTTCGTTTTGTCAAGCGTGTATATCTAGCTAGGACCTGTGAATCATTAACCTTCCTCTTTCGATATATTTCAGGGAATATCGTAGGAGCATAACTCGGATTTTCTTCCTCGTCTGATTTTTTGTTTCCCATAAAATGTTCACTACAAATTGTGTCGTCAGGTTTGGGATACCATGGCGACCCATCAACACTAAAATAATAAAGACAATAATGAATATCACATAAAATATATAGCGCAAATAAAATTGATCATAATTTAAGGTTATTTCGCTTACTTATTTCTTTTTATGGCATCTATCCGTTTATTTCTTTGATTTAATTTCCAGTCCAATGTAGGAAATATATACACAGACTATTTGTGCCCTTATTTTTGCAATTCACAACACAACAACATCTATTAATAGGCATTTTAAAAATTTTTGTTTATTACGAACTCCGTGCAAATTGACTTTACTTTCCCGGATTGTTGCGTATTTCTGCCACGATAAGCGCTGCGATCGCTTCACTATACCCCCACCATGTACTTCGCACATAGCGAATAGTTATACTATAAAATATGTGTACTATTCTGTACTACTCGTTTTTCCTTTTGCTATACTATAGCTGTGTAATTTCATGTCTCCATGTTTTAAACGCTTAATAGATCTATTAATAATATTATAATTGTTTTTTTCAAAGTTTCTTGTTTTTTGTGTATGTGAATTTATAAATATTGAGATGTAGATATCTACCTTTTTTGATTACGTTCAGAAGTTAGTACACTGCTTTATACACTAGATGGCGCTTTCCGTAAGTCGTACAAAGAAAGTTAATATAAAACATAATTTTAGTAAAGGGAATAGATTATTATCTTTTAAGAATTTTCTTTAGGTATTATCATCTAGTAGTTTATATGATTTAAGAGCCGGTTCTGAACTCATTAATAGAGAATGTACTGAGCAGTACCTGCTTGAAATAGGGATGAAGGACGTATGTTTTTCTTATTCACATATTCAAAACATAACGTAGATATAATGATTTAAATGTCGCATGACGTCACGTCGTGGTACTCTTTTCACTTAGAAGTGACGTCACGACGCTCCACTCCCAAACTTGACGCGCTTTGTAAATTTTTGATTGATTGATAAAAGAAATAATGTGTATTATTTTTTTGATGATCTATATGGCGGACGAAATATAATTTCGTTTATCCTGTCAAATAGAGCAACACGGAAGGGAGTAGCCATAGCGACATAATACTATTTTAATCATTCTGCCATGTTTGCTGACAACAACACACAAATGAGGCCATGAGAACCATAGGTGCCTCACTCATTTTATAACCTTAATGGCCTATCTCACTTAGTCCAGTATGGCACCTCAAATTTAGATCACAGAATAAAAACCGTAACAGTGATATGCTGCCATCTAGTTAATATTCGTTGTATCACTTTTAGATCACTCTGGTTCTATCAAAATGGTCAATTTGAACTGGAAAAAATAAACTCATTATTCTAAAAAA